TCCCAGGTGAAAAGAATTCAGACTGAAGATACAGCCAAAAGTAGCGATATTTTCTTGGCCAAAGGTGGAGTGATCCAGAGATGAAGAATCAAATTCAATCATTTGACTGCAGCAGCTCCTCCTGAGAGAGACAGGCCCTTTTTACAGTTATTTTTGTCAAGACCTGTGCAAGCAGCAGTTGGATGCTGGCAGCCCACCAGTGTACAAAGTACAACGACGATTATTAATCCAGTTTTCCCCACTGCAAATCAAGCTGAACGTTACAAGTGGCAGCTTCCCTCTCACCCACGCTGTACTTTGACATGCCTTACCTTTCGCACATGCCAACAAAACAAGATTCTTGCTGTCTCAAGACTGATGCTTAGAATGACACTATTCTTTAAGCCAAAGTCTTATTTATACAGTGTTTGTCACAAAAGACATTGTTTTTATTGATCTGTAGTACAGAATGATCAAGCAACAGTTTCATAATCAACATTTTTTTTGTCCAGCGAAATGAAATTGTTTTTCCAGTTCACTACGTTAGCACAGAAGTTTAGTTTTAATTACAAGCATTTCTTTCCCGCACTGAAAGATCAATTTAATTGGATCACTCTAACATGAATTTTGAAAAGCTCCTCTCAAGTCAGATTCGTATACAAATAAATGAGCAGTAACATCAAACTAAGAAGAGATTTACCAACACTGAGGACCTTTGCAAATGAATTCCTTGTGATCTTAAAGGAATTAGTGTTTTAACGCTAACACAACATATGTTTACAAATGAAAAATAAACCTTCTTTCAGCAAAGGTTTCACAGCATGAAATACTGGCCTCCAAGTTTAACACTGCATTCCTTCTCACCAAACAGATTTGTTAGGGCAGCTGTATTTTAAGGTATGTTATCAACAGGAAGCTGCTCTTACGCAGATACTTACTCAGTAGCACAACAAACACTCATGAGCAAGATAGTGAGATACTGTCACACGAGTACTCCTTTTGCCACTGCATGGGCTGAACACATCCCATATCAGACAACTACTCTATTCAATATAAAACAGACCTGTAAAAAGACCGGTCATTTATAAAAGTTAAATACTATTTTCACATTAGAATATTTGCTGTCTCAAAGAGATGAACCGTAAGTAAATGAAAATCAAATAATCACTTATGCAAAAGCTTTATCTGGAATGTAATTTTGACCAACAAGCAGTTAAGAAAGTTAGAGACTGTAATTAAAGTACTCAAAAGCTATGTGTGGCCAACTTTTATAACAAAAGAGATATAAATCATTCATTATCATCAAAAGCTTTAAACCTCCTGACTCCTACAAATGGAGTAGATGACTGGAATTTCAAAGAAAATGAGGTTAGCTTTTTTTTTCTTTTTTTACAGATGTCAACTGCAACACTAGGCACTAGGAAAAATGTTACTTGGATTCTTTAACAAAGTTTTTACCAAATTTGTAATAAGTGGCAGTGTAAAATTCTCAAGTCATTTTAAAGCTAACAAATTAAAGGCACACAGTATTAACAGGTGTTCATATAACAGGAAAAGAGCACAGAGGTAAACTTCTTAACAGTGTAGTAAGTTATATATGCAAGACTTCTGGTACGAGAGTAACCAGAGTTGTAATTCAGCCCTTAGTTATCATCTAGTTCCTGTAAGACTGTATTTGTATGAGAACTGGACGGTCAAAGCTTTGCCCTGAAATTTAGTAAGATCGACTCAGTCAACTGAGGAATTACTGGCATGACAAAAATCAGCTCCAAGAATTTAAGAAAGTTCACATGGACTCGATGGAAAGATAAATGAGCGGATTTGCTGTGCAAGGATTTTGTCTCTTTAATACTAAAAGCTTCCAGGGAGTAGTTTTCAAAATTGAGAAGACATTAAGTCCAAAAGTCTGAAAAGTGAGTGACAGTACACTATTTCTGCATATAAATGGCTAGTATATGTCATAAGGATGCATTTGTAGCTCAGAAAAAGTTAGCGTCAGCTTCCAAATTATGTTTGTAGATAGTTATAAATCCAGAACTGAACTATTTTAGTTATAGAAATATTAGTCACAAGAGTGCAAAAGGAGTCCCTGCAGAGGAGTATTCCCTTTTAACAGGTACAAATAAGGAAACACCTGCAAAGATTTGTTACTTCAAGGAGACAGACCTGCTATTCTTTGCACAAACTTTGCACAAGAGATATACTGCAGGAGACAGATGTAAATACAGTGCATTTTTTTAGATGTAAGTATTCATGTCTGGTTCCAGTATTATCAGGATGGTACATAAATACTTATTACAGAGGTTTTTCTTAATGGAAGAAGCCCAGTTTCTCACGCAGCCATTCTTCAGTTAGGTCTTCTGTATTTCTTATTTCAAATACCTAAACAAAATTGCAATTCTTGAGGTGATGGTACTTGAAAGGAGTAAGCATACAATGCAATCAATACCTTTCCACACAAGTCGGTTGAGCAGTAATAAACTAGTAACCAAAACCTGGAGTTTTCACATGCTTTCTCGAAAGGACTGGTTAATATTCTCAAGAAACATCAGTGGAAAATACACAAGACTAAATGGCAAAGAATATTACTAACTCGAACAAGAATTCCGTAATTCCTATTTGTAGGTTTCATTATTCTTCTTTTAAGAATATGTGAGAACAGCACATGTACAACATCTTAAAGTTACTCTGAAATGGCACCATCTCATATGCATTATCTCAGCAAGAAGACTGTCTCTTTGAATACAAATTAATTTAACCTCTGGGCTGAATTAAGCCTAAAGCTCAGGAAGTTTGTTTAGCCCAAGACACAGTTATTCTTTCTTTGAACTGAAATAAATCCATAGTATCCAGCAGCATATGGTTTTCCCTGTAAGAAACAAGCTTGGGATACCTCAGAACAGAAAACTTGCAAAAAAACACCCCCAAAACCACCAACCCAAAGCTTTGTAGAAGTTTAACATACCCTTGAAGAAGAAAACAAGACCAAAGACATCAATATGCTCTTTTACATTCCATATAGGCAAATAACAGTTTTGTTTTGGTTTTAGTACCCTTGAAGAGAGGCTAAATTAACTCTGTATTGCTAACTGGAGTCTTTGAGATGCCCACAAGTGGATCATCTTTTCAGAAGAGTCAGGTAAGTAAATTTTACAAATCTACTGTCCTTCAAAAGTGTTCTTCCAGGCAACGAAAACAAGAAAACTATTTTAACTGGAGACCGCTGTTTATTATTCTGACAACACTGAAAATAAAGCTATGTCAGCTCTAAATCAGTTATCTGTCCTGCTAACAGTATGGAGTACCTAGGTGCAAAAAGCATGCTCAGTCCAACAGAATGGATGGGATTTTGTAAGAGAAAACAAGCTTCTCAGTGAACCTGCTCTTTAGAATGAACTTCCTATTTAGTCCTGTCCTCAGCCATTTCACCATTTTAATCTTCTTCAAGAAACAATTCAAGTTTTGCATCGCGTCTTCCTCATTTCCCATCTCTGCTGGAGCAGGCTCTGGACACTGCTTCTTGTATTCAGACAGTGATCCACTACTATCAACTAATACTGAATTTTTTTTAAGTAAAAGATAGGGGGAAAACCCAAAATTCAGTGTTATAAGAACAGAACAGCTTAACAGAAGCCAAGCCAATATGCAAGCCACTGAAAAAATAAGAGGACTCAGCTGAGTCATGTACAGCAATCACACCAGGAGGAAGTCACAGCATGAGCTAAAATGAAACATGGCTCAGTGAGTGGCAAGAATAAAGCACATTTGAAGAGCAAGTAAGCAAGCTGAACTGGAAACAGGCTATCCTCTGGCTTCAGAACGATGATTATCATGGGCCTCTATATCCACTCCTAAGCTTTCATTTAAAAGCCTTTCAGACTGAATTTCTCCCACTTGACAGGTGACGGTGACTCCAATACAGCTACTCCCCAGTCTTTCACCTTCTCATCAACTCTTCCTTCTCACTCACTGAAAACTGCCTTCCTCCTTAAGGAATTCTTCCTTTCTGTCAGAGATGCTAGAGTCCTCAGGCCTCTAAGATGCAGTTTCAACAGACTTAAAAAAAAAATAAATAATTTTTTGGGGGGCTGTACTGATTGCTTCCACCATCTTATCTTCTGCTTCCCTCCTATTTACTCCTGTCAGCTTGATGTCTAATTTAAAACAGAGAGGTCATTCCTTGTGAGGTACAGCAAGAAGAGGTAGAAGTTCACAGTTCTCTTATTCCCCCGGTATACATTTTTCCTGGGATGTTAAAGTATTCAGGACCAGGAGGACCAAAAGGGAATGGTGCTGTTGGGGAACAGTGAAGTCATTTCACATTGTATGAAAAATCTGAAGTGACCACTGGCTTTGTTACTGGTTGAAACTAAAACTAAGAAAACTAGGTGCTAATTAAGCAGAGATTTCAAAGATCTCCAATATGACAATTAGGTCGCAATTTTTTTTTTTTTTTAAATATATATATATACCTAGGCCTAGTGAATGCAGTGATTTCTTCTGGTCTCAGTACTGGAGGAAGCAAACACAGGAAGATTTAGAATTGTTCAGCACTTGGCACGTATGTTACTTATTCTGAAGGCTATGTTCTGCAGGCATACAACCCCATGCAGCAAAACTAGCCCACACCACACCATACCAAGACTTCAGTCTATTCTTCCCATCAATAAACTCCTTCCTCAAAGACAAGACATCCATCCTATATTTTAGAGATGGAGAGTATTTATTTACTGTTCTCCCTGTACCCTAAAATGCCAGAAATCTCCTAAAACCCCTCTCTTCAATCTTCCTAAACCAGAATCTGTTGACTGTAATTACAAAGTCTCATTAACACCCTTCTTGCGACAGTGCAAGCATGACACAAAACAGCTTCTGCAACATGCATTTAAGGGGGAAGACAGTTAGTTCAACTAGTCAGTTATACCTTAGTGAGCTCAGCTGTCTGTACAAGCTTATTCTTGCTTCCAGCATACATCAGGGGGGGAAGAGATGTTTTCTTCAGTTATTTTGACTGCAACACTTCAAAATTAAGATTGTATTTTTTTTTTTTAAAGAACCCCAACTGAAAGCTGAAGTCTCCATTCAGAAAAGTGACCTATTTCTTTATATGCATTATCAACCTTGCTCTTACTTTCGTATCTAGTACTTGAGAAGCATTTGCAGAAGTAATAGTGCAGGTTGAATCAGTGGTCTCAACATGCACCTGCATTTCTGCTTAGAGCTAACATCAAACATAGCAGCAGTCAAACATGAATCACAACAGCCAACAAAGCAGTACCTCCTGCCACTACAGAAGTGTGCCGATTACACTGCATTCCATTCTTTGCCCTCTTGCTATTTCTGGAAGATTCCCATGTCTTTGCTCATTACACCTGTACAGATCTTTATAGCATATGCCTTTGAGCTGGAGTCAAACTGAAAACAAATCAAGTCACTTTGAATTTGTTGCTCTTTCTCCTTCCTCATCTCTCCCTAGATCCTCCAACTGAATCAAGATTACTCCCAACATGGAACAACTTCACTCACAGTTGCAGTTAACTGCTTTTAGAGCCCCAGCTCTAAATTGTTCATTGTTTCTGACTCCAGTACCAGCCTAATCACTAACGTTTGCAGACAATTTTTGGTAACAGAAAACCTCAAGAAAGAAAAAAAGGCATTTCTTCAGAAGCTTCTTGTTTAGTAGTTTCTAGATATGAGTGTACTTTTAAATCTTGCCACCCATAACGAATGTTGTCTAAGCTCTCTTTTCGTACAAAATACTACATGTCTGCCTGCTTTGCTACTTCAAGGTCTTCCAGGAAGTTTCTTACTGCTGTTATAACTCTCAAAATATCCATCCTTCTGCAGAGAACACCCATAACATTCATACAAAGAATCTCAGATAACTACAGAATAGCTGTTCACTAGTTGCTAAACTCCTCTACCTACCTAGTTATTCTAGTTCTGAGTAAAACAATGCAATCAATTTATCTTCTAGAGGATAACAAGGATAATCCAGTAATACCAGCAAGCTACTGTATTACATTTCAGAACACAGATGGAAGCCACAGGAGCAATTCAGCTCTGTCAGTCCAATCAAGCCACAGGTTATTTGGCTTCTGTTAAAATTACACAGTTCCCTGTGCAGGTACATTTATGTTGAAGGCTGCTGTGATGCAAGCAGAGGAAGCTACTGCTCTGTATAAACTCGGGACGATTTCAGTCTCTTTCTCCTTGAACAGAGTCTCTTCACCCAGCACTTTCACCTGCCCAAATCTGGGTTATGGAGCCCTTTTTTCCTCCTTTTCACCCACAGTTGTAACAGCCCTTTAGACCTTCACATGACAGCACTGTTTGGAGGCATCCTCTGTTGCTGCCCATTGCATATAGGCCCCCTGGAAAATCCTCCTCTCCGATGCCATCGGAACCCTTTTAGAGAGTCTCGTTCCTTCCATGGGTAGACACAGGTTCCCATGTCCTTCTGAGAAGGAGAGGAATTTCTTCCCACCCGGTTGCTAACATCTGAATAGCAAGATGGACAGAGGCAAGCATAAACCCTCAGGAACAGAGGGGGCATCTTCCAACCCTCTCCTCGCTCATTCCCTAAGCCTTGTCTGGTCATATTTTGAGGACTCCCCAAGATTTGAACAGAGGGTGACAGGAAAGACATTAGGTTAAACCTAGATGAATAGATTCAGAGTGCTCCGGGCTTTCCTGAGCGCACCACTGACACCACAGTGGGCAGGCACATTTAGAAAGACAGCTTTTGGCCAGCTATACAGGAAACTAACACTTCTGTTCAGCCTTCAGAAATGGAAAAGGGAATCTCTTCTACCATACTTCCTAAGTGCTCTAAATGTAAACCCCAGAGGCAGCGAATATCTCTAGCAACTAGGGAGATCTGGGCAGATGGGAGCATCTACGCCTGTCATGAGCTGCTGGTAAGGATGGAGCTAATATACCAGAGATTCCTCTCTGCCAAAGAAGGTCTCCAGATGATGCCATAGCTTTATAGTGCCTTGTTTCCAGCAGTGGCATAAGCAAATCTAGCCTTACGCATCTGAAGCACTATTTGAGCATTGAGCACTCATCACTTATCTTCCATAGCAAAGAATATTCCCATATTTACAGCATATAGTAGCTACCGTTCACAGTGTTCACTCACCAACTGGACTGGAGAAGATAAAGCACAACGGATAAGAAACTCTTCCATCATCATGCTGATACTTGTAACTATACACAATAAATGTTTTTTCTGAGGTTAAAGAAACTAAGAAATCAATTATTTTATTAGGATATAATCCTGTTATCAGAGCTTGATGCAGGCACAAGTAAGTCTTGCATTCCAGAAGATGCTTTAAATTTTATAAGTAGTCTCACTGTTCTCCTCTTTTCACTTCCATATTTGACTTTCAGAACTGACCCCGCCTATCTTTACCAACGCCTACCACAGCTCAGTGTGAGGGCTCTCTCTGTGTTACTATTTCACACCAGAGTGCTAAAAATCACCCTTTCGTCACAAGTATTCCTCTCCCAGCTTTGTAAACAGACCTCCCACACCCACCAAGGTGTTTCTGGCTTAATGAAAGCCAATTTTTTTCTTTGCAGATTAAGAACTTCATTGTTTCAGGTGTTTTGCTGAATTTGAACTCAAGGTTTAGCTAGGCCTCCTCCTTTATAGCCTCCTCCTGCACTATGGTCATGAAAGGAAAGATGGCATGTGGAATAGTGCCAGCCAGCTTGTGAGGATAACAGAGGCAGATATTTTCCTCACTTAGAGCGTTAACTACCCCTTATTTCATCTAGTTAAAGAATAATTTTCTTGCCCCTCTTTC